CTCTGGATGAGCCTTGCGCTGCGCTTCCAGCGCTGCACCCGGATCGACCTCCATGGCGCCTCGATCTGCGCGAGAGAAATCGTTTCCTTGAGCCGAAAGGCCTTGAGCCAAAATGGAAGAATGAAAAAGAAAAGTGCTAAATTTGGCGCTGCGCCGTGGCAAAAATGTGCACTCGAAACTCCAATGACTGAATCAAGTGCCTCTGCTGCACCCAGCTCTTCAGCTCGAAGCTGGGACAGGGCAATAGCATACGATAGCAGCGTATGCATCGGTTTCAACAATGATTCAAAATGATTCATAATGGCAACTCAAAATGCTTTCAGGAAAAGTCAGAAACGGAATGAAACGGATAAGTCTTGCAAGCCAAGACATTGCAAAACCCCAACCAAAGGTCGAATGCAAAGTATTTCAATGTATTTCGAAGTACATGAAATTTCGGCGAAATTCCTCCGCAAGGATCCGCAGGCGCTCCCGTTCCTGACCATCCGAATCTCAGCAACGGGGAAAAAAGCTAGGTATTTCTCAATCCAACTGACCTGATTAGCTTTTGTATTCGAGTCATTTGAGTTCAACATGCTTCAACATGATCAGTTTTACAAATTCATAGCCGTGGACATCATTGAAGCCTTGAAGCCTTTGACAGCTCGGTGCTGCGGATGCAGGCGCCCTCTTTTGACCATAGGACTGAATCGCTGTTCGAAATCACATTTGCACTTCAGCCCATGCAACTAATTTGTTTTGCATTCGGAAATCTGTAGCTGAAATGACCCCAAACGCGTTGATTCTGCAAGAGGCAAGGCCTCAGGGCAACCGCCTCACAGTATGAACTTGACTTCGTCTATCCACCTATGTCATGTCGTTGTAAGTTCGGGCTGAGTTTTTAACGCTCTTTCAAACCTGAAACAAGAGATTTGGCGGCTCCGTGCAACGACTTTGGTCGCTTGTCAAAGAACCAGCTGCATAAGTGCAACGGGCCATCAAATTATCCTGCATTGCACTTCAAGTTTGCCTGACATCTGGTTGTGCTACTTAAGACGATCTCAGAACGGAAAAGTGGCTCAAAATGCACATACAGTAAATTTAAACAAAGTGAACTCAAAACGAAAAGCACTGACCAGGCAGGCTGTCAAAGAACTATGTGTGTCGGTCAAGCTGCAAGGCAACTAACAAGGGCAGCACTTTCCATTGCCGGACAGGTTCTTCCCGTCTTTCCATTGAAATCGTTGGATGCAAAGGGAGACCGGAGAGGTGGGTTTTTTGGAGGCAGGGCTACTTCTAGAACACTTTCTTGCATGGCTCTCTGATGTCCGTTCAATCCCCTGAAATCATGGGGAAAAGATGCCACACAATTATGACGTATTCGAGTGCAAAATGCATCATATTCATATATATATATGTATGTATGTAAATATATATATACATAATATAACATATAATATATATATAATATATTCATATCTATTCATATATAAGATATCATCTCTTGATTTTTGTTGGTGCACATGAGCGCTCACATGCATAAATGAGTACATGTCATAAATCGATGCTTGGAAAGTTCACGAGGCGTCGGCCTCGGCGGCTTCACCGGGAAGCTGCACCCTTGAGGCGTCGCTGCTTCTTGGCTGGTGGTGCCATGACCTACGTCATCAAGAGTCCCGGTTGGCATTCTCTTTGGGCATTCGGCATTCTCTTTGGCATTCGGCATTCTCTCTGACATTCTCTTTGGCATTCGGCATTCTCTTTGGCATTCTCTTTGGCATTCGGCATTCTCTTTGGCATTCTCTTTGGCATTCTCTTTGGCATTCGGCATTCTCTTTAGCATTCGGCATTCTCTTTGGCATTCTCTTTGGCATTCTCTTCGGCATTCTCTTTGGCATTCTCTTTGGCATTCTCTTTGGCATTCGGCATTCTCTTTGGCATTCTCTTCGGCATTCGGCATTCTCTTTGGCATTCTCTTCGGCATTCGGCATTCTCTTTGGCATTCTCTTTGCATTCTCTTTGGCATTCGGCATTCTCTTTGGCATTCGGCATTCTCTTTGGCATTCTCTTCGGCAATCGGCATTCTCTTTGGCATTCTCTTTGGCATTCTCTTTGGCATTCGGCATTCTCTTTGGCATTCTCTTTGGCATTCTCTTCGGCATTCTGCATTCACTTTGGCATTCGGCATTCTCTGTGGCATTCTCTGTGGCATTCTCTTTGGCATTCTCTTCGGCATTCGGCATTCTCTTTGGCATTCGGCATTCTCTTTGGCATTCTCTTTGGCATTCTCTTTGGCATTCTCTTTGGCATTCTCTTCGGCATTCGGCATTCTCTTTGGCATTCTCTTTGGCATTCGGCATTCTCTTCGGCATTCGGCATTCTCTTCGGCATTCTCTTTGGCATTCGGCATTCTCTTTGGCATTCTCTTTGGCATTCTCTTTGGCATTCGGCGTTCTCTTTGGCATTCGGCGTTCTCTTTGGCATTCTCTTTGGCATTCGGCATTCTCTTTGGCATTCTCTTTGGCATTCTCTTCGGCATTCGGCATTCACTTTGGCATTCTCTGTGGCATTCTCTTTGGCATTCTCTTCGGCATTCGGCATTCTCTTTGGCATTCTCTTTGGCATTCGGCATTCTCTTCGGCATTCGATACTCTCTTTGGCATTCTCTTTGGCATTCGGCATTCTCTTTGGCATTCTCTTCGCATTCGGCATTCTCTTTGGCATTCGGCATTCTCTTTGGCATTCTCTTTGGCATTCTCTTTGGCATTCTCTTTGGCATTCTCTTCGGCATTCTCGTCGGCATTCGGCATTCTCTTTGGCATTCTCTTTAAGGCATTCTCTTTGGCATTCTCTTCGGCATTCTCTTTGGCATTCTCTTTGGCATTGGGCATTCTCTTTGGCATTCTCTTTGGCATTCTCTTTGGCATTCTCTTCGGCATTCTCTTTGGCATTCTCTTTGGCATTCTCTTTGGCATTCTCTTCGGCATTCTCTTTGGCATTCTCTTTGGCATTCTCTTTGGCATTCTCTTTGGCATTCGGCATTCTCTTTGGCATTCTCTTCGGCATTCGGCATTCTCTTTGGCATTCTCTTTGGCATTCTCTTTGGCATTCGGCATTCTCTTCGGCATTCGGCATTCTCTTTGGCATTCTCTTCGGCATTCTCTTTGGCATTCTCTTTGGCATTCGGCATTATCTTTGGCATTCTCTTCGGCATTCGGCATTCTCTTTGGCATTCGGCATTCTCTTTGGCATTCGGCATTCTCTTTGGCATTCTCTTCGGCATTCGGCATTCTCTTTGGCATTCTCTTTGGCATTCTCTTTGGCATTCTCTTTGGCATTCTCTTCGGCATTCTCTTTGGCATTCTCTTTGGCAGTCTCTTTGGTATTCTGTTTGGCATTCTCTTTGGCATTCTCTTCGGCATTCTCTTTGGCATTCTCTTTGGCATTCTCTTTGGCATTCTCTTTGGCATTCTCTTTGGCATTCTCTTTGGCATTCTCTTTGGCATTCTCTTTGGCATTCTCTTCGGCATTCTCTTTGGCATTCTCTTTGGCATTCTCTTTGGTATTCTGTTTGGCATTCTCCTTGCCATTTCTTTTCGACATTCTCTTTGGCATTCTCTTTGGCATTCTCTTTGGCATTCTCTTCGGCATTTGGCATTCTCTTTGGCATTCTGTTTGGCATTCTCTTTGGAATTCTCTTTGGAATTCTCTTTGGCATTCTCTTTGGCATTCTCTTTGGCATTTCTCGTGTCATTTTCAACAAAGCAAGGTTTGCAAAAAGGATCAAAAGTTATTGGAAGTTGGCGTTTACAAAGTGCAATCTCTGTCCATCTCCTACGTTGCTGTCTGTTGACTGACAGGCGGTTCTCATACTCTCCAACAAAAAAAGCTGTCTTTCTGAGAGTTTCTGATGTAGAGTACAATGATTTGCACATATTTGCACACATCGTGACAGACACAAAAATGAGCAAAGTGAAGGCACTGCCATTGTGCAGCTGTGCATCGTGTTTCAGTACCGCCGGCCTCTATGATGTCTCGTAGTAGCGCAGGCCTTCGCTCCACCAGGCGACTGTAAGCCTTAATTGACGGTCCGGCATGGTAAACAAAAATGAGACCAACGGCATACAATTTGACAATGATGTTCTTAACTGTGACAGATTCTTTGCTGTCTTCACAAGCATGTACTCTCAGGTTTTTGTGTAATTCATGCTAAGCCAATGGCGTCTGTGGCCTGAACCTCTGCCAAATGCGCTTGGATGAATTCCAAGCATTGAGCCTGCATCCGCTCCAGAAGAGGAATGCACTTTGAGTATTCAGATTTGAGAAGAAATGGAGACCATTGAGACCATTCAAATCTTGTAAGATCTTCAATGTCTTCCAGGTTTGTCTAACACGACTGGACTCTACTAGCGCTGCCTTGAAGTACTTGCTTCCAATTAAATCTGCCATCTCTAAACGCTCTGCCACGGTCTCCACTTTGAAGCGCCCGACAATCATCTGAAGCAATCCAAATAATCAAAGGTCAACAGTGAACAATGCATGTGTCACAATGTGTCACAGCATGCATGCATTCCCTCAAGATAAGCTGGCAAATCTTGGACAACAGCTCCAGATAGCTACAGTATCTTTGCCTGCACACAGCGCTCAACCAGGCCAGGCACTTCATAACGATGTGCAGCCTCCAAACAGCCAAGGATCCAGAGACCCAAAGTTCTCCCAAAGCTGAACGACGGCAACGACGTGGCTGGCAAGAGAAGGGATTCTGGAGAATGATACATGTCATTCATGTCATGTCATGTACAGTACATGATCTTCAAGGAGATTTACCGTGCTTCAAGGAAGACAAGTTGAAGACAAGTTGAAGACAAGTTGAAGACAAGTCAGAAGTTGTCTGATATCTTGCTATATGGACTTCCTCGCCTCCAGCAAATTCACTGCCAGTTCATCACTGTCCAGCGCAGCCTGATCCACAACTCCTGTGTAGAGGTACCTCACCTGAAACATGTTGGACTGGGAGGATTTCAGTTCTTTCAGTGCCAGCATGTTTGAGTGGTTTGAAACCGGAGATATTCCAGACACGGCCGAAAGCTGGGTTCCAGACCAAGGCCTTGACTGGGATCGCCTCCAGATCCTTGTTCCATGGTGAGCACTGAAATTAACGCAGTAACTCCACACGCAACGAGGATATATGGAGTCCACATGGAGTCCACATGGAGTCCACATGGAGTCCACATGGAGTCCACATGGAGTCCACATGGAGTCCACATGGAGTCCACATGGAGTCTATGGTGGCGACCTTGATGTGCACCTCTTTCTCCTGTTTCTCTTTCATAGGACCTTGGATCTTCGCTTTTGAAAATCTTGAAAGCTTTTGAGCTTCTTCGCAAAAGTTTCTAATGCGTTGCCTTGAATACCACAAGGTCAACTAGCCACTGGTGGTATCGTGCATGTTCTTGATTCTTCATCCCCAGCACATGAGGCACTAGCGGCTCAATGTCTGGCGTGTTGTTCTGCCAAACTCAAGCTTGATCTCTCTCTCTCTCTCTGCGGTACAAGCTTCTGCTGATGCACTGCATCTAAGCCCCTTGCAAGAGAACATGCGCTCGAAAACAGGGGAGCGCGCTGCGAGAATTATTGAATGAGCTTGGATGACTTCGTTGCCTACCTTGCGATGAATCATGCCGAATCTCTGGTATGTGTGTGTGTGCTCTGAGAAGACTTACATGCAGCTTGCACAAGAATGGAGCCACCAAACTCCAAACATTTGACAAGTGTTTTTCCGGTTCTTCATTCAAGCACAAGTCGATCGATCAATGCGCCTTGAGCACAACATCCGCCATATTTCCGCTTTGCAACAAGCCCTGTCACTTGATCGTCACCGACACTTGCAGCTCCAACCGCGGGTATTGCATCTGTTACTCTCCGAAACGCTCCAGATTCTAGCCGGACTCTAGCCTGCAAGGACTCGCAAACCTCTTGCTGGCCACTTGCCTGAAGCATGGGCTGCACATCAGCTGTTTGAAGCAAACTTTGAGGCAATATCGCAATACCATCTGAAGGCTACTAATTGTGGTGTACAATGCAGCAGCTGCAGTGGTATACTAGTGACAGCATGTTGTAGATCAAGTTCCCCTAATTACAAAAGAGCAAGTCCTTCAAAGGTTGCTGACAACAAGAGTTCTTAAAGAATCCTGCTTGTCATAACTGCTCATTTAAACAAGCTTGCTGCCAGCAAAGGGTGTGCAACCGTCTGTAACCGTGTAATCTACCAAATTTTTGAGCAAACAGTCAAAGATTGCTATGGTTAAAGATGCTGCTTGTCGATGCCAAAGTACAAGCTAAATCGATGCTACGGAAAATCCCCAATCACTTTACCAGCCGTTGTTGGAACTGGACATGATTCTATCATATTCTATCTACAGGAATCAAAAGCTACCCGCAGCTACCCATCCACAGAAGGTAGTCTGCAGTCTCGCAAGCATCCCACAAGCCTCGCTAGAAGCAACCACCGCGGTATCGAAGCTGACAACCACCTCAGACTGCAAAGCGGTCAGGGGAAGAGCCAAGTCAGCTTGTTTGATTCGAAGGGCAGGATTCTTCTGCGGGGTTTGTATTCGCAAATGGCCAGGGGTGTTAAACTTAACATTGCCTCAGGCAATTTCCATGCTCGCGTCAACCTCAACAAACATATTGGAAATGGATGGAAATGGGTTCTTCGCGCATGTCAAGCATGCGGGTGGTACGTTTTGGGACCCAGACAGACAACTTCGCAAGGACACGCAGAGACCCGCTGTGGAGCCATCCAGCCTCTGCAATGCCGGAAGCTCAAGCAGAAGGAACGCAAGTATACGCCACACCACACCAATGTCCTCTGGATTCCTCTCAGTGGGTTGAAATGATTTGAAATATCTCGGCCATTCCCATCACAAGTCATGGATGAATGCTGCACGGGTCTTTGCTGGAACCGTCCTGCCTGGTGGTCAAAGACTTCTGATAACGGCAAGCCCTCGCATGGTTGCAAGCAGTCAGTCATGAGTCATGAGCAACTTTAGGGTAGAAAAAATGGGATTGAATTGCCCATACGGTGCCATATCTTTGCACCAGCATCACCGCTTGAATGAAACAGCGACGCCTTTACACCATCATGGCGTCGACTGTCAGGCATGTCAAAGGAGCGTGACCAGCCTCGTGCCTGTGCGCAACTGCGGAGTAGATCGGATTAGTGTGCTGCGTCGTGCTGCGTCGTGCTGCGTTGATCAAAATTGTCATTGTGGCCTTCTGGCTCGATATCCCGTGGTAGGTTCCATCGTGCCTGAGCAAGCCATCTTCTTTGGCAAGGGCTTCAGGACCCGAAATCCCTTGCAGCTTTGATGGCTTTGATATGCTCTCTCTTGCCCCAGGGTTTTGAGGTCGTTGAGTCCTTGACAAGAACATGTTGCAGTTTTTCAACCGGTTGAGGACGGTCATTTCCAGGGAGATGCTGCACTCCTGACCAAATCAGCAAGGATAGTGTGCACTATCTCTAGTAACTCTCTAGACTCTAGTAGCTCCTTTCTATAATTGCTCCAGTACCAGCAGTTCTACTTCAACCCAAGTGACCTCCGGGTTGTCGTCCAGGCGCTTGACGTGCACACCCAGATTCTTGCTCTCCTGCCGGTTTCGGAACAGAACGTGATCAGCCACCAGTATCATCTAACACATTCTAAAAGCATGCTACACACATATCAAGCATGCTTCAACCATGGTTCAACCAGCTCAACCATGGTTCACCCATGGTACCAGGCGACCAAAATCGAGGCCTCAACAGTTCCATCTGGCTTAACAGACCATGCTACAACGATGCCGAAAGCATACTGCTTGGCCTCAGGAGCAACATGCTTGTCCCATCTTGTCGCATCTTGTCCCATCTTGTCCCATCCATGTCAGTGATGGTCTCATCATCTCATCCCAGCTTTGTCCTGAAATGACGATGAACTGTTCGCACACTCTCAGCCATCTGCCACCAGAATCGGGCCAGAAACAATTTCTCTGCAATCCTCGCTGGCCCGAAGCATATAGATTTCATCCCAAAAATGTCTTGTTCCGTAGCCTGAGCTGCATTACTAAAATTCTGAGGTCCTCTGAAGCCTGTGTTAGAAACTACATGATGCATGGAAGCCACTGGAAGGGCAATGACAGCGAAAAAGTGCGCCTGCTTGTTCTCAGATACAGTCTTCGTCGTCGCCTCAAATCAGGACTGCGTGCCATCCTCCGCTCTCGTCAAGAAACGGTGTCCATCTGTGTCGTTGCGCCATGTCTAAACAGACTGGAGGTCAAGTCTTCAAGGTCCAGAATCTGTCAGAAGCTTTAGTATTGCTATGTATTGCTTTAGTAATATTTAGATATCTAAAAGCAATTCTTGCCACCAGATGCGCTCAAAAAAGTCTAGATCCAGTGACAGAAATGATGGCAAGAAGCATGCGGTTCCTTTGGAGGACTGAACCGTTTGTCGTTGTTAAAAGATCTAGCTATGAAAAGTCCTTGTCTTCTTTGTAGTCACAAAACTCAAGCAGATACTACCTGCTTCCAAGGCCACTGCGCATGTGACTGCAAAGTTCTGAACCTCGAATTCGCCAGAGCACTCCTTGCGCTGGGAGCACGCATGCGAAGCAAGCGACAGATCAAGGACTGGCTAGACGAGTGGCAAGCATTGGCAAACAGTCATTTGGCCATGTGGCCTTGCTTATGTGTGAAGATGTGTCAAGTCTGGCTCCTTGACACGAGCTCCAGCTCTTGCACGAATTGCCATGGCGGCTAGGGTCTCATCATACAATTCGAGAAAGTATATCTCAACTGTGTCACGCTGATCACATGACACTTGTGCTCAGTTTATGGAGGCGGTTGTACACTATGTTTCAATTCTAAATCACCGCTGCCATCAATCATATTAGATATTGGTCAACTCGCCCCTGTTCCAGGTGTGGAAAACTAGTTGTTGCGACTACCTGGGGTTGCGATTAGTTCAATGTCTGCAGTTGCGCACGTATCCAGTTTAGTGGGTGCAAGTCAAGCAAGTTTGACACATTGTTGGTTCGTTCTGGATCCTGTGACTAAAGCCTTGATGCCATCTCACTGACAAGTCTGGCATGTTTCTTTGAAACTGGATCTGAAACTGTTTTGTTTCAGAACGTATCAACGTATCAACCGTACAACTTCTGTTCGAGTCGTAAAGGATGCCTTTAGGTCTGCCTCGCTGACAGAGGGTCTCTCCAGCCTGGCCATGAATCCAATGAATTCACAGGCGCATAAGAATTGCCTATGCCTAACAGTTGAAAAAAACAGAAAGGAATTTTCAGGATTTTAAGGAACTTTAAGGAAGTTTAAAGAATTTCAAGGAAGCTTCAAGAATTTTAAGGATTTTTAAGGAATTTTAAGGAAGTTTAAAGACTTTTCAGGAATTTTAAGGAAGTTTAAAGAATTTTCAGGATTTTTAAGGAATTTTAAGGAAGTTTAAAGAATTTCAAGGAAGCTTAAAGAATTTTAAGGATGTTTAAGGAATTTTAAGCAAGTTTAAAGACTTTTCAGGAATTTTAAGGAAGTTTAAAGAATTTTCAGGATTTTTAAGGAATTTTAAGGAAGTTTAAAGAATTTCAAGGAAGCTTAAAGAATTTTAAGGATGTTTAAGGAATTTTAAGCAAGTTTAAAGAATTTTCAGGAAGCTTAAAGAATTTTAAGCATTTTTAAGGAATTTTAAGGAAGTTTTAAGAATTTTCAGGTCTTTTAAGGAATTTTCAGGAATTTTAAGGAATTTTAAGGAAGTTTAAAGAATTTCAAGGAAGCTTAAAGAATTTTCAGGAAATTTAAAGAAGTTTAAAGAATTTTACGGATTTTTAAGGCATTTTAAGGAAGTTAAAATGAATATTTCAAGGAAGCTTAAAGAATTTTAAGGAAATTTACGGAAGTTTAAAGAATATTTCAAGGAAGCTTAAAGAATTTTAAGGAAAATTAAAGAAGTTTAAAGATTTTTATGGATTTTTAAGGCATTTAAGGAAGTTTAAAGAATATTTCAAGGAAGCTTAAAGAATTTTAAGGAAATTTAAGGAAGTTTAAAGAATATTTCAAGGAAGCTTAAAGAATTTTAAGGAAATTTAAAGAAGTTTCAAGAATTTTAAGGAATTTTAAGGAAATTTAAAGAAGTTTAAGGATTTTTAAGGAAGTTTAAAGAATTTTAAGGAATTTTAAGGAAGTTTAAAGAATTTCAAGGGAGCTTAAAGAATTTTAAGGATTTTAAGGAATTTTAAGGAAGTTTAAAGAATTTCAAGGAAGCTTAAAGAATTTTAAGGGTTTTTAAGGAATTTTAAGGAGTTTTAAAGAATATTTCAAGGAAGCTTAAAGAATTTGAAGGAAATTTAAGGAAGTTTAAAGAATTTTGAGGAAGCTTAAAGAAATTTCATGATTTTTAAGGAAGTTTAAAGAATTTTAAGGAAGTTTGAAGAATTTAAAGGAAGCTTAAAGAATTTTAAAGATTTTTAAGGGATGGTAAAGAAGTTTAAAGAATTTCAAGGAATCTTAAAGAATTTTAATGATTTTTAAGGAATTTTAAGGAAGTTTAAAGAATTTTCAGGATTTTTAAGGAATTTTAAGGAAGTTTAAAGAATTTTCAGGATTTTTAAGGAATTTTAAGGAAGTGTAAAGAATTTCAAGGAAGCTTAAAGAATTTTAAAGATGTTTAAGGAATTTTAAGGAAGTTTAAAGAATTTTCAGGAAGCTTAAAGAATGTTCAGAATGTTTAAGGCATTTTAAGGAAGTTTAAAGAATTTTCAGGATTTTTAAGGAATTTTAAGGAAGATTAAAGAATTTCAAGGAAGCTTAAAGAATTTTAAGGTTTTTTAAGGAATTTTAAGGAAGTTTAAAGAATATTTCAAGGAAGCTTAAAGAATTTTAAAGAAATTTAAGGAAGCTTACAGAATATTTCAAGGAAGCTTAAAGAATTTTAAGGAAATTTAAAGAAGTTTCAAGAATTTTAAGGAGTTTTAAGGAAGTTTAAAGAAGTTTAAGGAATTTTGAGGAAGTTTAAAGAATTTTAAGGAGTTTTAAGGAAGTTTAAAGAATTTCAAGGAAGCTTAAAGAATTTTAAGGATTTTTAAGGAATTTTAAGGAAGTTTAAAGAATTTTCAGGATTTTTAAGGAATTTTAAGGGTTTTTGAGGAATTTCAAGGATTTTAAAAGAATATGTCAAGGAAGCTTAAAGAATTTTAAGGAAATTTAAGGAAGTTTAAAAATATTTTAAGGAAGCTTCAAGAATTTTCAGGATATTTTAGGAAGTTTAAAGAATTTTAAGGAATTTTAAGAAAGTTTAAAGAATTTTAAGGAATTTTTGAGGAAATTTAAAGAATTTCAAGGAAGCTTAAAGAATTTTAAGGAAGTTTAAAGTTTAAAGAACTTTGAGGAATTTACATCTGCATTTACATCTGCTTTTACATCCGCTTTTACATATGCTTTTACATCTGCTTTTTACATCTGCTTTTACATCTGCTTTTACATCTGCATTTACATCTGCATTTACATCTGCTTTTACATCTGCTTTTTCACATCTGCTTTTAACATCTGCTTTTAACATCTGCTTTTAATTTAACATCTGCTTTTACATCTGCTTTTACATCTGCTTTTACATCTGCGTTTACATCTGCTTTTACATCTGCTTTTACATCTGCTTTTACATCTGCTTTTACATATGCTTTTACATCTGCTTTTACATCTGCTTTTACATCTGCTTTTACATCTGCTTTTACATCTGCTTTTGACATCTGCTTTTAACATCTGCTTTTACATCTGCTTTTAACATCTGCTTTTACATCTGCTTTTACATCTGCTTTTACATCTGCTTTTACATCTGCTTTTACATCTGCTTTTACATCTGCTTTCACATCTGCTTTTACATCTGCATTTGCATCTGCTTTTACATCTGCTTTTACATCTGCATTTACATCTGCTTTTCCACTTGCGTTTACATCTGCTTTTACATCTGCTTTTACATCTGCTTTTACATCTGCTTTTACATCTGCTTTTAACATCTGCTTTTAATTTAACCTCTGCTTTTACATCTGCTTTTACATCTGCTTTTAACATCTGCTTTTAACATCTGCTTTTACAGCTGCTTTGACATCTGCTTTTACATCTGCTTTTACATCTGCTTTTACATCTGCCTTTACATCTGCTTTTACGTCTGCCTTTACAGCTGCCTTTACATCTGCCTTTACATCTGCCTTTACATCTGCTTTTACATCTGCTTTTACATATGCTTTTACATCTGCTTTTACATCTGCTTTTAACATCTGCTTTTACATCTGCTTTTACATCTGCTTTTCCATCTGCTTTTAACATATGCTTTTAACATCTGTTTTTAACATCTGCTTTTTACATATGCTTTTACATCTGCTTTTACATCTGCTTTTTACATCTGCTTTTACATCTGCTTTTACATCTGCATTTACATCTGCATTTACATCTGCTTTTACATCTGCTTTTACAGCTGCTTTTACATCTGCTTTTACATCTGCTTTTACATTTGCGTTTACATCTGCTTTTACATCTGCTTTTACATCTGCTTTTACATCTGCTTTTACATCTGCTTTCAACATCTGCTTTTACATCTGCTTTTAACATCTGCTTTTAACATCTGCTTTTACATCTGCTTTTACATCTGCTTTTACATCTGCGTTTACATCTGCTTTTACATCTGCCTTTACATCTGCTTTTACGTCTGCCTTTACAGCTGCCTTTACATCTGCCTTTACATCTGCCTTTACATCTGCCTTTACATCTGCTTTTACATCTGCTTTTACATATGCTTTTACATCTGCTTTTACATATGCTTTTAACATCTGCCTTTAATATGTGCTTTTAACGTCTGGTTTTAACATCTGCTTTTAACATATGCTTTTAACATCTGTTTTTAACATCTGCTTTTTACATATGCTTTTACATCTGCTTTTACATCTGCTTTTTACATCTGCTTTTACATCTACTTTTACATCTGCATTTACATCTGCATTTACATCTGCTTTTACATCTGCTTTTACATCTGCTTTTACATCTGCTTTTACATCTGCTTTTACATCTGCTTTTACATCTGCTTTTACATCTGCTTTTACATATGCTTTTACATCTGCTTTTACATCTGCTTTTACATCTGCGTTTACATCTGCTTTTACATCTGCTTTTACATCTGCTTTTACATCTGCTTTTAACATCTGCTTTTACATCTGCTTTTAACATCTGCTTTTAACATCTGCTTTTAACATCTGCTTTTAACATCTGCCTTTACATCTGCGTTTACATCTGCTTTTACATCTGCGTTTACATCTGCTTTTACATCTGCTTTTTGCATCTGCTTTTAACATCTGCTTTTACATTTGCGTTTACATCTGCTTTTACATCTGCATTTACATCTGCATTTACATCTGCTTTTACATCTGCTTTTCAACATCTGCTTTTAACATCTGCTTTTGACATATGCTTTTAACATCTGCTTTTACATCTGCTTTTACATCTGCTTATTACATATGATTTTAACATCTGCTTTTCACATCTGCTTTCCATCTGCTTTTACATCTGCTTTTGCATCTGCTTTTACATCTGCTTTTACATCTGCTTGTACATCTGCTTTTACATCTGCTTTTACATCTGCTTTTACATCTGCTTTTACATCTGCTTTAGCATCTGCTTTTACATCTGCTTTTAACATCTGCTTTTACATCTGCTTTTACATCTGCCTTTACATCTGCTTTTACATCTGCTTTTACATCTGCTTTTAACATCTGCTTTTACATCTGCTTTTAACATCTGCTTTTACATCTGCTTTTACATCTGCTTTTAACATCTGCTTTTACATCTGCTTTTAACATCTGCTTTTAACATCTGCATTTAACATCTGCTTTTACATCTGCTTTTACATCTGCTTTTACATCTGCTTTTAACATCTGCTTTTACATCTGCTTTTAACATCTGCTTTTAACATCTGCTTTTCTGCTTTTACATCTGCTTTTACATCTGCTTTTAACATATTCTTTTAACATCTGCTTTTGCATCTGCTTTTACATCTGCTTTTAACATATGCTTTTACATCTGCTTTTATGCTTTTACATCTGCTTTTAACATCTGCTTTTACATCTGCTTTTAACATCTGCTTTTACATGCTGCTTTTACATCTGCTTTTACATCTGCTTTTACATCTGCTTTTTACATCTGCTTTTACATCTGCTTTTACATCTGCTTTTACATCTGCTTTTACATCTGCTTTTACATCTGCTTTTAACATCTGCTTTTACATCTGCTTTTAACATCTGCTTTTAACAACATCTGCTTTTAACATAACATATGCTTTTAACATCTGCCTTTACATCTGTTTTTACATCTGCTTTTACATCTGCTTTTAACATCTGCTTTTACATCTGCTTTTAACATCTGCTTTTACATCTGCTTTTACATCTGCTTTTACATCTGCTTTTACATCTGCTTTTACATCTGCTTTTACATCTGCTTTTACATCTGCTTTTACATCTGCTTTTACATCTGCTTTTACATCTGCTTTCTCATCTGGTTTCTCAGCTTTCTCGGCTTATGATCTCCCGGCAGAGTCAAACTTCTGGAAGTCCCGAGACATAGGAGGCCAGGAATACTTCAGAACGACGTCGGACTTAAGCTTCCGACTCTGTGGCTGGTGTTGCCTCCCAATGATGGAAACTTGCAGTATGATGGAACCAAGTCTGTCAATGCAAGGAGGACAAGCTGAAAGTCACCATGATCTTGTGGCTCCGCTGCTAGAGAGGAGTTGGCAAGGCAAATACCAGCTATGACAAAAGGATACAACAGGTACAGAGATGAACGGTTCCAAGTTGCACCCTGTCAGAACCCAAAACACCAAACCTGCGGTGAAGCAATTTTATCTTTCTCGCCGCCGTAGGTCTCAATGAATTCCTGGCATTCAATGATCATTGTTTCACTCTTAAATCGAAATAAATATGAGGAGAACTTGCATCATCACTTGAAACGGACGACACGCTGGTGAAATGAGAAGTGTGGGCACAACCTTCGTGTAGAACACTGGCGCAGGTGCAGGCGCTGATGCCGGTGACCTACATCATGAATCGAAACAAAGCGACCATCGTGCTTCCAGCCTTCTCGCAAATCGAACTCTAAGTTCAAACAGAAATCTGCATAATCACCTAGTAAAGTCTGCTCCAATTTCCAATTTGCACAAAATGTGCTAACATGGTGCTGTCTTCAGAATCTTGTCCAGCCAGTGAAAGAATATTGGAAACTCTCTGGTGAATTAGGACACAATTACGAATTTATATTTATATATGACTTATATGTAATTAAGATTTATAAGATAATTAAGTTGAGCAGTAGTCCATATCGCAGATTAGTACAGTCTCGAAAGGAAAGATTTATGAAACGTCGACAGCCACACCTCAAGGCCACAGCTCCCATTGTGACAGCTTCAACGAAGGCATGTGTCTCGAGCCGGATCACGGCGCGGTGAATATCAGTGGGCTTGGCTTCTGAGAGTCCTGCGGAGTCCTGCGCCCTTGTGGTAAGAATTGGGAGTGAGCAGTCAGACACAGCCGGACACAGCTGCCCGTGCGTCCTGTTTTGATCATCTGCTGAGAGATGCTTCTGGCTTCGACGGCAGACCCAAAAAAACAACCGAGTCCTTCAGACTTGGCTGTGCCAGGCTCCGCAAATCTCGAACCCCGATCTACAGCGAACTTCCAGCCTGATCCTGCCAGACACCCTGCTTGACTTGTGGAAAGGTTTTCTTCCAACTGCTTCGCAACACAAACAGGCACAAAACGCAGACACACTTTCTAGAGGAAAATAGATTGGGATCTATTGGGATAATATTAGGACAATCCTCTAATGCAAGAAGCCTGCAACAGAACTCTGGGAGGGTCTACAAAAAGTTGTGCAGCACGTGGATTGATAGAACCTATTTCAGAGGGATTAAACACTGCAGACTTGTCCCAGAATGGAAGCACCACAATAACAACGTTGAAATATTGCATTAAAGGGCCATCCAGTATGAGTTCCAGGGATGATACTATCCTGTTGAACCCCTTTTTATGTGTCTTAAATGAAGCCCCTTCCACACTGTGCAGTCACGCTCACTGGTTCAAAAAGCCCATGACAATTTGAGGAGCGATCTACGCGCACAAGCATCATGGACCTGAAGGCCATGCTTAGGAGTGGATTTGCACAGCCACATGGCCCCATCCATCTTTAAAGTCATAGAAAGTCGCCGAAAACTTCAAACGTTCAAAGAAAAACATGTGCAATCAAAGGCTAAGCAGCTTTACCGGCTTTACCTCCCAAACACTTCAAAACACTGTGCAAGGCCAAGTGCATGGTGACCAGCCCTAAGTCCTTGGCTGAAAAGCAGGAGCAGACCTGAGCACAAATTCAATGACTCTCATAGCGTAGCTGAAATCTGGCATCAAAGATCATCAAAGTGCAAATGAACTGAGGTTTTGCAAATGCACAAACCAGATCCGGGTGCACCGGATTAGACCGGGAGCATTCCTCTGGGATCTCTAGGTCTCCAACCAACAGCACAACTCATGAGACTGTCTTGGACACCCCAAAACGGCCTTGGACTCCTCCTGCGTGAAGTGGATCGAAATGAACCTGTTTTGAAAACAGTTCATGATGAGGCCGTTCCCAGTAGTTATCAGGTTCCTCGTTTCAGACGTTTCAGACTCAGCTACTGCATGACATCTTCCTACGCTCAGGCGCAGCTCCTCAGCTTTTTAATCAGCTTTTTGGCCCTCTCCTGTGCCAAACAACCGAGGCAAACCATTGCGGTGCTCGCTGGTCTTGTGGACGTCTTGTGGCTTGAGAAAATGGAATTTTACGACACCGGCCTCCCACTTTGAGGAAACTGTCCTTTTGAGGTCAGCATTTGCAAACCTGAAGTGAAGTGCGATGCAAGTTTTGTCTACGACCTCTCTTGGTGTATGACAAGAGGTTGACACCACTCGAGGCCGACCTTTCTATTGCCAGGTTTGAGGGCAAGTTGATTACGTTCTCGCCCTTCGTCTCTCCAGCTCGCACCTGTGAAGGTCTGCTACTTTACTGAAAATGGAGCTGGATGACACTTGACCATGTGCAATCATACTTCATTGTGCTTGATCCATGCTTGATATAAATTTGTTAAGTGTCTAGAGATGTCTAGAGTCTAGTCTTTTCCTCCGTTTGATCGTGCGCCTGTTCAGCTAACCATAGCACTTTAGTCACCTCAACGCTGGGAACTCCCCAGACCTGCGCCAAATTCAATCCAGCCGTTGAAAAACAATGAAAAATGGGTCCAAAATGGGTCCAGAATCGCAAGCCGAATCGTAGCCCAATGTCGGCCACCTTGGCACTGCCCTCGCACTGTGCCAGCTCCAGAGCCTGGGTGGCAGCCTGGCAAAGCTTTCTGGGGAAAAAGCATCCGAAACACCATCTCAGAAGATCTCAGAAGATCTCAGAAGATGTCAGAAGGGAATGCTCCATCCGAAACAGAGTATGTCGAGATTTGAATGCAAATCGATTGTGCAATGCATGAAAGAGCTTGAAAGAAGGCCAACGAAGCTTCGCGTCCTCGACATCATCGAAGACACGCCTGTAAACTGCCCACCTCAGCCGAATCGGTTCAAACCGGTCTCTTTCTGTGCCATGTCAGCCTGTTAGATCCTGTTAGATCCTGTTAGATCCTGTTAGCTTGTATCATGTCAATCATTTGTCTGATCAGGATACATAATGTTCCTGACTCAAGTGTGAGTTTGTTGCCCTCCCAGAGACTAGATCAGCAGATGTATATACAGTGAATTACCTGCGATCTTCAAGGTCGGGTAGCAAATGCTATTTCCAATCTGCAAAACATCAGCCAGGCAGCATCATACCCGAAGCTCCTGTGATGGCGGCAGCAGCACCAGCCCCAGCACCCAAGAGCCCCAGAACTAAAGCTATCTGATGCATATTGACGAACTAAATAGGTTCAGGACAACTGCAGCCAAAACATGCATTTGTCCATGATAGCTTTTGCAGAATAAGGACTGGGAAGGCAAAGTATTCACAGAGGAAGGACTATAGCATTCAGAACAGGGATGCAATACTCATTGGGCAGACAAGTTTATCATGAGCCGCAGGTCTTTCAATCATGCTTGGGATGTAACAAGCCCTGCTTTGAAGTCTGAGGTGAAGGGAAGCAAAAAGCTGCCATTCTTGCAAAAGACTGATCTCGTCATAATCTGTAGAAAACTGTTGCACAACAAGAAGATCCTTTTGTATCCGTTCACTTTGGTGAGCTGTCGAGTTTAGCTTCAGCTCAGGGCTCTGGAGCACATGGACCTGCCACAATCATCCACAATCACTGTCACATCCCACATGCCCCGCAGGCCCCACACAGATCATCTAAGATCATAAAGTGATCTCAGCGATCTCCTGAAGTCCAGGAAAGGAATCTGCGCTTGTACTATTTGGACATGACTCACAAGGGCTGCACCTGCACCACCTTCAAGCAAGGTTGCTTCAACGAAGGCACGGATGTAGCCCTGCCTCAAGCAATTGAGAAATCTTCCATTTATGAGGATGACTGGACTTGTTATCTGTATAGATTGCAGCACTTTCAGCTAAGTCTGCAGCTTTTGAGATCCACTCAGTTCCATCATACTTGCAAAGTGCTCTTTTGACAGCCTTTGGTTGGAGTTGTCTTGATTGCGTCCACTGCTTTGCTGTTCAGTTTGCTTCATTTCAGTTCAGGCTACTTCTTTGGGGTCTGTTGCTTCCATTCCGTCTTCTCTCTTTCAAGCTCTAAAGTCAAGCTTTCTTGTCTCAAGGACACTAGGACTCTTGTTTAACCTGCAGATGCAACTTGGCTGCTCCATACATGGCTGGTAAAGCTACGACAAAGGGGGAGAAAGTCATCGCCACATGCTCTTCTGCACCGTCTGTAACGATGATGTCATCAGGGCCATGTCAAGGAAGCAGATGCATGAAGGCAATGAAGGCAATGAAGGCACGGCAATGTTTCTCCACATCTGCGCAAACTTGTAGTCTTCAGGCCGCTCAGCGGTACTTGCCACCATATTCATTCTTACCTGCCCAAGTACTTTTAATAACACAAGCAGTCAAGGAATGCGTCTCTACCTCTATTGGGCTGCCAAAATGCGAATGGATTGGCTCTCCAAACACATCAAGCGCAAGATCATTACAGTAAATCATATTAAATCTAAGGCAATCAAATGTCTTGAATCCAGCCTTTCTTGGAGTCAGTTCCCAGCTCGAAGTGCTCGGTGCGCTTGATAGGCTTCATTCGCTTGGCCTCGCCACACTTGAAAGAAGCTGAAGCAAACAACTCTTGGGCTCTGAGGAAGACAAGAAACAGTACAAAGGTCTCAACATGTCTCAACAATGTTCAGTCGACTCACATGGCTGTTTTGACGCTGTTTTGAGATCTATACTGTGCTGCGGTAGCATATACACACACAAAGATGATCCAAGATGCATGCATAACACGAAAGAATCGTAAGGCAAAAAAAGACCCATTTGGCACATTTGTCAGCTTCTGTCCATCATCGGCCTTGCACTTGGTGCACTCAAACTTGAGGACAATCTTCTTGGTGGTCTTGGCCTGTGTTCAAGCAGTCCCACGCAACATATGAGGCTACTGGGGTCACCCCAGTGGAAGGCAAGAGTTTCATTTCTTCACTGATTTCTCAATCTCACAAGGCAAGTTGTTTGCCTTCTTGTGGAACACTGGCTTGGTCTGACCTCCAAAGCCAGCCTGCACTCGCCAACGAGTCACTTTCTGCAATTCCAAGAAGCCAAAACAGGAAGTGAGTCAGCGGACTGCCGTAAAGGCCAACGAGAGAAATTTCATGAGTGTCTTTCAGACATTTCAAACATTTTCAAACAGTGTCCTAGACAATGCTGCGCGCCTGCTTCTTGTCGTATCGTCTCTTTCCCTGTGCGCTCAAAGAAGCTTTGCCAGTCTTGTACTGCGACACCTGCGACTAAGTGGAGAAGCACACATGGTTGCCAGTCGCCAGTCCTTTCCAGTGGTTGCCAGGGAGCGTTGTTTGCAAACAATCTGTCACTGTGTTCGTTATCCGTGCCTTGTGGGGAGTGTGCTTCCTGCACTTTCGGCAGTAGGTGTTGCGCGTCTTCGGGATGTTGACCATGATCCTGGCACTAGACTCACAGCTCAATCGCAATTCCTCCTTGGATTCAAAGGTCTCATCTCACGACATGAACTGATCCAAATCCAAAGTGTGCCCAGGCCAAACCTGGTGGATTCAATGAAAGTCGCAGCTGTGTGTACCCCTTGAGCCAAGTGTTGCCAGGATGTCATGCGAATCCATGTGGGCTCGTTACTATAAGGAGTTTTTCGAAAGAAATACTAATCTTTGCCATGAAATTTCTTCTGAATGCATCCGGATTCTTTACTGCATGGCGGCTGCCCTGTGCTTTTTGGCCCTGGGTTGCGCAGGTCGGTTCACCAAGCTCCTATCGGTACTTGCCACCATACTCGTTCTTGCCTCTGCAGCGACAGAGTGTCAAAGCATCGAATATTTTCAATTTTAGTGCCTGTTGAAGATTCCCAAGCCCAATAGTCAAATCCAAACACCAAATTGAGATCTTGGAAAATGCTCGAGTAAAGAAAGGGTTGGAGGGTGAAAGGCCCAGTATGTAGCCGAAGAACTTGGGAAGGCTTGCCTTGGCTGCCCCTCAGTTTCCCTGGTTTCTGGAATCCAGCCTTTCTTGGAGTCAGTTCCCAGCTCAAAGTGCTTGGTGCGCTTGATAGGCTTCATTCGCTTGGCCTCGCCACACTTGAAAGAAGCTGAAGCAAACAACTCTTGGTCTCTGAGGAAGACAAGAAACAGTACAAAGGTCTCAACATGTCTCAACAATGTTCAGTCGACTCACATGGCTGTTTTGATGCTGTTTTGAGATCTATACTGTGCTGCGGTAGCATATATATACACACAAAGATGATCCAAGATGCATGCATAACACGAAAGAAACGTAAGGCAAAAAAAGACCCATTTGGCACATTTGTCAGCTTCTGTCCATCATCGGCCTTGCACTTGGTGCACTCAAACTTGAGGACAATCTTCTTGGTGGTCTTGGCCTGTGTTCAAGCAGTCCCACGCAACATATGAGGCTACTGGGGTCACCCCAGTGGAAGGCAAGAGTTTCATTTCTTCACTGATTTCTCAATCTCACAAGGCAAGTTGTTTGCCTTCTTGTGGAACACTGGCTTGGTCTGACCTCCAAAGCCAGCCTGCACTCGCCAACGAGTCACTTTCTGCAATTCCAAGAAGCCAAAACAGGAAGTGAGTCAGCGGACTGCCGTAAAGGCCAACGAGAGAAATTTCATGAGTGTCTTTCAGACATTTCAAACATTTTCAAACAGTGTCCTAGACAATGCTGCGCGCCTGCTTCTTGTCGTATCGTCTCTTTCCCTGTGCGCTCAAAGAAGCTTTGCCAGTCTTGTACTGCGACACCTGCGACTAAGTGGAGAAGCACACATGGTTGCCAGTCGCCAGTCCTTTCCAGTGGTTGCCAGGGAGCGTTGTTTGCAAACAATCTGTCACTGTGTTCGTTATCCGTGCCTTGTGGGGAGTGTGCTTCCTGCACTTTCGGCAGTAGGTGTTGCGCGTCTTCGGGATGTTGACCATGATGCCTACCACAAGGCAAGCTTCTCGGCGAGCTTCAGAAGCTCAGTCGTGCAAAGTTGAAGGCACTGAAGGCACACGTTCCATGAAAAGCTGGTTTCATTTTCTGGCCAAGCCTGCTGTCCAACCCAAGTTCCTTCAACTGATTTCCTGGATCCAAACAGCACATGCCAGGAGACAATCAGACCTGCCAAGACAAATCAAAGCTCTCCAACCAGCGGGTTGTGCTGAGGAAGAAAGCACAGCATGGTGCAAAAGAGGTATGAGGGGGTTGGCGAATCGTGGACTTACAGTGGTTTAAATAAGCATCTTCGGAAGCAATATAAAACGTGCATCAAATGCCATTGATGCCATTGTAAGCACGCCTTTTTTGCAACAGCTCTGCTGGGCATACGCAGGGCATCGAGCTGCACGAACGAGGCCGAAAAAAAAAATGAAAAAACATCATGTCTGAGTCTATCAAGTTATACTGTCTGAAATGATGCTACTTGCACAACTTACGTCTTGCTACCATGTACTTTACTCATGTCAGAACGTGTTTCAGGTTTGTTGCTAACTCCGTGCAGAAACTTTTCAGCCTCCCTGTACCAAGATAGAAGCCTCTGAATGGTATCTCCATTGGGATACAGACCTCCCACGGTTCAATTGAATTGAACCTTTCATGGTGCTCCAAATGCATACTTTAAATTACTCCAACGGATTCTATGCTTGATGTTATGTTTTCATACATCTGACTTTGGAGCGCAAACCAAATAAGCCGCTGCATTCACCGAGTCAAAGAATTGCAAATGTCGACCATTGTCTGGCTCTTGAGAAGGATCTGATAACACTTGAGGTGTCGCGAACACTTCAGACCAATCAATCAAGCAATCAATGAATGTTGTCGGAATCTCATCAATCTTAGGCATTGGCGACTCCCAAGCGTTCTGAAATAATTCACTACAGCCACGTAGGCACTGGTTCACTAGTGTTCACTAGAAATGTGGATCAAAACGAGGCACTCTTGCCGTTTTGATGCCTGGCGTTAAAAATTGCGCGCACCAGCGCCATCCACATGGCACCCTTGGCACCGTTGGTTCACATGCATCGTTTGGCTCACGGGAGCACCTTGTCTAGAGCCGAGGCCAAGCTAAAGCTACCTTGATTAAAAACAAAAAAAGATACGAAATGAATCTGTTTGGAGATACGTTGAACCGGCGCTAGGTGCCTGCACAGAGGGAACTGATCGCATCCAGCGGCTTGGCACTGCATGCGTGCGAGCTGAGCTGCCAGAACTAATGTCTTCTCAAACACGCAGCTGATTCCCTCTCCGTCGTACAAATAGAGAAACATAGATAAACTGCGAATAGGTTCGTATGATAGCCTCACGAGTCGGTCGTCGAGTCATTGGTGTCACCGGATATACTTGTGCTATGTTCTCAATTGACCAAACACAACATTTGCCAAATCGGATCACCTGCAAAAGAATCCCGACAATCTGAAGCGCGAATTAACGTCAGCTGATGCTAAGATCAAGAAGGATCCTGTCCTGGCTTTGGCCTCAGCTTGCACAATGAATCTGGACATTTTCTGGACATTTTCTGGACATTTATCGATCTTTCTCAGATCTTTCTCGACATGTCTGGACATTGCCTCCTTTGGCGATTTTTGCATCTTGGCCATTCGAATTTTTGGCCTTCTCTAGCGTGCTGATCATATCGATGCATTACAATTCCAAAGGTTCCTTTTTTGAAAAAATGATGGCACGCATGCTGTGCTCCCCGCGCACCAGGAGCTGCCACCAGTCCTCAGCACACTGAAGTTCTCATCAAAGGCCGATGCACCAAAAATGGACCACATCGTGCAGCAAGCAATGAGAAGACATCAAACCAAAATACAACAATAGGAGATTGATGAAACGTGCACTATCTAGGTCGATTAGGTCTAATAGATTTGTTGTCTGGATCCTTAAGGTTTCGTTCCCTTGCATCGTGCTGTGCTTCACTTCAATCAGCCAGATCTATTGTGAGCTCATCAAGTTCTCGGCGGAAGGGGAAAAACACGACTTGCCTTGCCTGTGAATCCGAAAGCGCAACCGACTGGATTGAAGGTGGAAAGCTTTAACTCTCCACACCAGACAACCACAGAAAACCTACCGAAACATTTCTGTAGCCTGCTCGACAGATCGCTGAGATATTTTCCCAGCCTTGCCAGTGCTCTGCACCAACTCCGGGACCGTGATTCCAACACCATGTCCAAAAGAAAGACTCAATGAGAACGATGTAAGAGGGGAACTCCCACTGAATTCGACTGTGCATACTGTTGCCACTTATTTCATACATGCAAAATGCTCCCACCAATATTACCTTGATTAAAGCATACTTGTACTAAGTTGTGCAGCAAGCGAATATCCGTTCATACTGCTCTGACACCGTCCACGGCTCGCCTGCGTGCAAATCCGTCTAGAGGCTTTTGCAACATCCATGACAAATGAGCCTGGCGAAAGGCTCTGTGAACTTTTGCCTGGGCGAGGGAGAAAGGCCAAACGCCAACGCCGCCAACCAGTCAAATGGCCAAAGAAGACAGCTCTTCGGGTTGTGGTTTCCGTTCTAGTGAGCAGTTGTATCGATTGTGAAGCCTCTGTCCTGACAACCTCGCTGAGTGTCATACGTTCTGATGCCCAAAACATAACTATCGTTTTTGCACCTAGGCAAACAATTGGCGCAGTCAAGAACCAACTCAGTCTGGCATGTGTACAACCTGCATGGGCACAGCCCGTGCATTTATACTAATTTTGTACACTGCACCATAACTTGCTTCTTCCTGCTTGCATGTGCACCTGTAAACGATACTGTAATACAGCACTAGTGGACGTATGTATGTATGGATTTATGGGTGGATGCATGTATAAGATCCTCACATTCAGATGATTGTGCATGTGCTTCATACCTGGCGAAATTGTGCCCCTGAGATGGCCACGTGATGCTACAGCGGATGCCCCTCGAGCGGCACCCGCTATCACATCCTTGCTGGCAAGTACCCAGGGTCTCCACTTTCGAAAGCACAGAGAGAATCAGAGAGATCACCACGGGTACCATTTTTGTCCTTTGCTATGTGACAGCGAACAAAACCAAAAAACGAAAAAAAACCAAAAGCCCAAAGGCCTCGGGGAAAAATGGAAAAATGAAAAGGGAGTGCGCAGGTATTTGATCTTAAAAGCGGGGCAAAAAAAGTAAGACGGACGGTCCTCTATCTTGACATCTTCTATGTCAGTTTCATTGTGCACCTGCAAGCGTTTTCGAAATGTAGCAGCATCAACAATCTCACGCATAGCCGCATCCCACACAATTCCGAAAGCGCAAGGCCTCTGGTTGTGGCTCCCGGACTGCTGCCTGCTCAATGTTTTTCTTGAGACCCTTTTAAAGAGATATATGCCAGGTACAGTGAGCAACAGTGAGCAACAGTGAGCAACAGTGAGCAACAGTGAGCAATAGTGAGCAACAGTGAGCAACAGTGAGCAACAGTGAGCAACAGTGAGCAACAGTGAGCAACAGCGAGCAACAGAGTCGACCTTCAAATGACTGTGAAATCTGTGAAGATCTGTGAAGCTGCTACCCAAATGCCTCCTGCTTCTGAGCTGGAGCAGCTGGAATCGGTACGCGCTCAATGCGGAAGCTCACACCTCTGCCATGGAGTCGTGAACGAGGGTAGAAGCGGAATGGGCTTGCAGCCTCTACCAGCTTCTACCGCGCTTGTCACCTTTTATAATGAACAGAATCTACAGTATATTTACACAAGATGAAGCCCACGAACCCGAATGCTCACACGTATGTGGAAGGTAGCGAAATTAAAGTATCTATTACGCAGATATGATTGAAGTGTTAATGCTCACACCTATTGTAGAACAGTGGAACAGCGTCATTGCTCCGATTCTTTTTTCTCATGCTGACAAACTTCATGCCTGAATCGGCAACACTCCCGTCCATGCGAAATTTGCTTGGGTCTCTGTCAGTAACCTTCGAACATCGGTCTTCACTGTCTCTATCAACGCCATGTCATTAACCGTGAATGCTTGATGGCCTCTGGCAACTGAGCACAGCCAAAATGTTAGCCGACGCAGAACCGTAAATACACGAATCTGCATGAATCTAGAACATCTCAGCAACCCTTTGATCATCGCAGTCTTGCATGTTTTTCCAGCTTCCCCCATAGACACGGCGACGCCACAGGAAAACGAGAGACTCGCGACAAGACACGTGGATGCAGAAAAACCAGCATTTCCTACGAGACTTCCTCCAATTTAGAAATTTTGCGAACATCATCAAACAGGTTGGACGGTTACAAAGTGACACGCCAGCCTTGCAAAACGACATGACAACCTGCTTGGACACATTCACATCGGAGCGCCACAGGAAAACCAGAGACTCGAGACGAGACACGTGGGAACGCCAAAAAAACGAGCATTTCGTGCGAGACCTCCTCCAATGTTGACACGTTCGACACCTTATCAAACAGGTTGGAATGTCACAAAGTGGCACGCCTGCCACGCAAAACAACATGACAACCTGCTTGGAAACCTCCAAAACGAACATTTCCTGCGAGACTTCCACCAATTTGGACATGTTCGACACCTTATCAAACAGGTTGGAATGTCACAAAGTGCCACGCCTGCCACGCAAAACAACATGACAACCTGCGTGGAAACTTTCGAAAGGGAGAGGTTTTGCGGCTTCCTCCATAGACACGGCGAAGCCACAGGAAAACCAATGACCAAAGACGAGACACGTGGGAACACCAAAAAACGAGCATTTCGTGCAAGACCTCCTCTAATGTTGACATGTTCGACACCTTATCAAACAGGTTGGAATGTCAGAAAGTGCCACGCCTGCCACGCAAAACAACATGACAACCTGCTTGGAAACCTTCGAAAAGGAGAGGTTTTGCAGCTTCCCCCATTTGTTGCGAGACTTCTTCGAATTTTCACACTTTGTAGCTTCAAAATCGACGTTTTCCTACGAGTTTTCCTAGGAACATCTAAATTTTGCTACCTCAATATCGATGTTTCGTGCGAAGCTTCCGTCAGTTTTCAGCACACGTCACAAAACGCCACGCCTGCCACGGAATTTGCACCTTGTCGCCATTTAACGCAGCCCTGCCAATGCGATTTGCAAAAACACGCAACGCGACACGTCTAAAGTGCTGCGCCTGCCACGAAAAATGACGATGGACACGTCCAAAGTGCTGCGCCTGCCACGAAAACTGCAACACATCTTCTGAAAACGTCGCAAAAGTATTGCGCCTGCCACGCAAAACGACTTTCGACACGTTGCAGAACACGTCTGAATGTCACGAAGTGCCACGCCTGCCACGCGAAACGAAGCAACTACACATTGGAAACCTCCAAAAATGACCACCTCTGCAGAACTTCCCATAGGCACGGCCATACGGAGTTCGTACGAACGGTTGCGGACGGTTGCGACCGTGAACGCAACGTCGAGCGAACACAGCCTCAACCCCCAGACCCCCAGAGTGAAACGGGAACCCTTGCTACGCATTCGGGAATTATATATTCGCAAGTTCTCCTCACTACCATGCAGAGCTGCTCAAGTTTCTGCAAAGTCTCCTTTCCTTTTGAACTTGCAACATGTCTGACGGAAAAGCTCCGCCTTCGCATTGCCACAGCAGCCGCTGAATTGCATCCGACTCTGCTCCAGCAGAAGGTCTGGTTTCGCAGCAAGAAATCCAGACAGATTTGCAAAGGAGCAAAATTATCTGCATCATTGAGCAGCCTTCCGGCTTTGCAAATCTTGACTTCAACTCTTTGGGGTAAGTCCTGCAAACGTTGATTTCGTTGGTTCCGCCGTGGTACAATATGTCTTCTGCGTTATCAGAGGACTTATGAGAGTGGTTAGAGCTTGGTAATGATTCTGGAGGAGAAATCCAACAGTCTGCTGATAGGGAAGAGAGCATGTAGACATGCTCCATGCTTCTCCATACTTTTTTTAAAAAAGTAACAAGGTGTTCAAACACTTTTAACTTGCTTTTGAGTGATCCGTTTAGAACTTTGCAGCGCATCCCAGAGCCTCTGCATCATCCGGAGCGTGCCGCCGCAAACCACTGCCCATGTATGGCTATCCACCTGTACAGCTCATGACGCTGTCAACGAAATTTCAACGAAGTTACATGGACAAGTTCGCACAACACGTCGTGAAGCTGTGGCCTGTGACCAACCCTCTCCACGCTGATCATTGCCTCGAAGCTGCACATAGCCACACAGCTGTCAAATCGAAGCCAGCGTGATCTAAACCTCCTGAATGAGGTCGCAGCTGCAGCTTTGGAAGCGCCTACCTAGGCATTCTTTCTCACAGCAAACAAATAGCGAAGTGAAACTGTGTGGAACCCATGACTCTCCATCAACGTGCGGCAACATGTGAGACTAGCGATTTTCACTTTGGGAGGTGTCACAATCGCGCTGCAGCTCTAAGAGCGCAAGCCTATACATTGGACTTCCGGTGGGGTGGCCAGAGCACCAAAAGTACCTTGGCTGAAGAAAGACAATCGCAATCGAAACAGGACTCTTTGATGTTGGAGTATGGAAGATATTGCAAGATGCCACACAGGTTGCCATGTGACAATGTGACTTGTGCCTTACATGAGGTCTCTGGAAATCTGCTCCATTTAGCTCAAAGATATTAAAATGTTCCAAGGAGGTCTGTACACCCCAAGCTGAAATAAAGAAGCAACAGAATAGAAAGCGCATGTAAGCCAGCTTCTGGGTTTGCATTTTCTGTACCGAAATATGATGTGCATTCTGTACCATTGCTAAGAAGCGAATTTCGGTGCCAAACGAAATGTGGAACATGACCCAAGCCAATAACGGGCGAAGAGAATTTCTGTCGCCAAGCTACTGTCCACGGGATGGGCTCTATCGCTTTCTTTTTGTTTCAGGTCGGTATCGAGTTTGACCCAACCGATGCCTAGCGGCGCTGCTTGGGATTTGGAAGATACTGTAAGTTATTCAATGCTCATCATGAAATATCGTGAATCGTGAATCTATGTGAATCTGACTATCTGCATGAGGATTATGCAGGATCATGTAGGAACTCATTGGTACAGTATGGTCTGAACAGCCTGTGCAGTTGCGGTGCTCGATCCGTAACCTGGGACTTTCATGGCATGACAGGATGTAACAAGAGCAGTGGCATTCAGGGGCTTGTTGTCCCAAAAAAGACCGTGGCGTTGCGCTTGAAGACACAAGTGTCACAATCGTGATTCTCTGCCAGCATGACATTTATATCGTCCTTCTACCAACAGAGCAAGACGTTGAGTCTGTCGCAACGAAGATGCTCTCTGGGCGCTCTACTCGTTTGGTGAAGCCATCCGAGCTTTGCCAGCCTAGCCTCTAGTTTGAGACAACTTGATTTCAGCAATCACATAAGCTGTGGGGAAATAGCACTGAATTTAAGAATCTGCACTGTTTCATGCTCACACCAAAAGCAGGCTTTCTGGGAAAGAATATGAAAGGCAAAGCTGATTCATGTTCTGAACAGCAGAAGGGGTCCCAATTTCAGCTTTAAAAGCACCTGACTGAACAAGACTGTCGTGCCTCCAGATCCTCGAGGATCTGGAAACTGGAGGAAAGCGTAATTTGACACGGGCCGAAAGTGACGGAAGTCTTGTGACAAATAGATACAAATGGTAGTCTGCTGGTGCACCCAGGTGCAGTCTGGTGCAGTCTGGTTCAGGGGCTCAGCGGGGTTCTTTGGCGAGGCTTAAAACCTGGCTATTGGGCCTGCAAGATCTGGAATGATCTGGAAGGCTGCTTGTGCGATATGGGTACTGCCAAAGTCTCTGCTGCGAGATTTGATTGACAGAGACGAGCACTTGTATGACAAAAACTCATTGAGCAGTCTTGGCCGCGATGCAGTCTGAAGTGGGTTTACGTGATTCATGAACCTTCATGTCTACAGCATCTACCATCTACCTTTGTTGATATGTCTTTTGGCTCCGGCCACTGCAGGAGACCTTGTGGTCTCATACTTCGACAAATCAATCCGCCTAACTCGCCTAACTCGCCTAACTCATAGACGGTCTATCAGACTCCAGTCGGCAGAATACAAGTCATACAGCTTGGTTCCTCTCTGGTGCTTTCAACTCTTTAACAACCTCAGATTTTCCAATGCTACTGGAGTCTTTCCATGTCTTTCCTGGCTCCAAGGGCATCCAAGGGCAAGCTCAAAGCTTGCGAAGAGGCAAGGGCTTCCGGAGATACTTGTTGTGGGAAGTCACTTACAAGTGGAATATGCTCTGGCGAATATTTGCAGTGGCAGGCTTTATCAGTGCTAAATCTACTCCCAATTGATTCTCTGGTCTCCCTGAAAACTGTGGCACAGCTGTCAACTCACGCGAAGCTTGCACCTGACTCAGCTCACCGCTTTACATCATTTTACAGCTGTGGCGGATTCAATTCTATCAAATTTCAAATGTGTGTTTGATCTCCAATGCTTGTGCATTCGGACAAGCGCAACAAGATATCTGTGGTCTCTGATGCAGACCAAGTGACCTAGCGACCTTGATGCTGTTGGTTTTTGACATGTCCTGAAGAAGGCCACTAGAATCCACTAAGCAAATGAACATCAAAGGAACATCAAACGAACATCAAACGAACATCAATGACGATTGACTTGTTGCATCCTTTGATTCTCTGGTGATCCTTTCAAGACCAGAACGATATCTGAAAAAGGCAGGGCGGTCCAGTGAAGGCATCCACAAGTCATGCCTATGTCGAAGATCTCAGTTCACAAGTGCGCTTCTTGCTCGTCGCAACTGCACGTGGTCGACTTGAGGATTATCTGAACGCTCTCTAATAATCCAATATGTTGCCTATCGATGCCTATCGATGCCTATCTGCCTTGCATCTCTGAACAATGAGATCCGGACTTCTGATAAGGAGCATCCACCGTTGCCAAGAGAAGCAGCAATGACGGTCTCCAAGAGATCTGCAACGACCTCCACATGGCACCGTCTCTTAACGCAGTGTGGAAGCTTAGAGCATCACAATGTACAAACGTACATTCAATCAATCCGTAAAGATCCGGGACCTGTTGAGAGACTGCCCCATCCAAGTGCTCAAGGCTCTCGCCGGACAGGATACGGCTCAGGGTGCCTGACAAAGTGGATCAAAGTGGTATGTAAAGAGCTTCGAAGTATTTCAGAGTCCTGTAATGAAAAAGATTAGAGATCGCTAAGGTCATGTATTAGAAAAGATTGAAGAGTACATCACCAACCCTCCAGTGCTCAAGGACCGACTTCCTGTTTCTCCAGCCATTTCCACTTCAACACTGAAGCTTGCACCAGATCACTGAATACAATTGAATAGAAACTCGCAATAAGCAGGCTCATTATGAGCCAAACAAATCAGGACTGAAATGTTCTGCCAGTTTCTATTCTAAATCCGTGTACCACCAGACACAGCCTGGCGTCTTTGCGCGTTGTTCCACGAAGCCCTGGGACTGCAGGAAGCTTGGAATCATCAACAATCGTGGAACAATCGTGGAACAATCGTGGAACAATTCCTTCAAGAAGCGTTTCTGCTTTTTTTGTCTTGTCAGTCTAGTCATTAGACTTCAAGTACATTGAAATGCCAGGTAACACAGCAGTAGCACATGGTACCAGGTGTTCTGTGCACATTGCACATCCATTCCCTCTGTGAGGTCCGAGCTTGCACTGGCCGCAGCTCAGCGCAAATACGCGTCAGTGGTGGGCAGCTGGCAAGGCCGCGGTGGCCCTCAGCGATGGAAAAACTCAGAAGTGACTTCAGCAAAGTTCAGCAAAGTTCAGCAAAGTTCAGCAAAGTTCAGCAAAGTTCAGCAAAGTTCGGCAAAGTTCAGCAAGGTTCAGCAAGGTTCACCCGGGAGAGAGATAGAAAAGATGAAGAGATCGAGGAGATCGAAGAGATTGTGATTCTTCTCAGCTCTTGCTCCAACATCACTCGCGTTGTCCAGCAAGTGTCTGCTGAAAGGCTAAGTGTGGAGCTTGCAAACCCAGGTTCACCTGATAAGAGTTTCCAGCAAAAACGTTTGGAAGCAGTCAATAGAGAGTTCAACAAAGGGTCAAGCCATGAATTCTTGTGTTGCAACTCTCCCTTTTGCTGCATTTCCATGGATTTCCACTGGCCTGCCGAGCAAACTGAGAGAGGTGAGCATTGCGGCAACGTGCCCAACGCGCTGCATGGCCAGCCCTAAGCAGCTGACAAAACCCCGCCACTCTAGAGATAGTGAAGGCCAGCAGGTTTCAGAGATTGCAAGTAGAGGGAGGGGAAGCTGCCAGGTGGGTGGCGGGCTATCACAATGCTACAAGTTCTCCCCAGTAGCAAAGACTCTAGAGAATGGATACACTCAAAATCAACAAATAAGCACCTCTGACTTGTAGACTTGATGACATTGAGAACTGAGGCTACTGCCAGTGTACCATCTGTACCTTGCAAATCAAACTTTGGTTCGCACTCATGGCACCGAGGACATAGGTCCCCTGATAGCCCAAGACTTGCGCGGGCCCGCGCGGGCCCGAGGGTTTTCAGGTCAGCATTTTATCGTCTATATCTTCTTGCATTCTGTCTGGCATCTTTCAGGTCAGCATTTTATCGTCTATATCTTCTTGCATTCTGTCTGGCATCTGTGTCTAGCAAATCTTTTCCGGTATTTATTCTGGCAATCCAACAAATATTTTCAAATATATTCTGGCATAAACTGACATAGTCGGACCCGCGCGTTCTTTCTGGCATATCTTTTGGCGTGCTATCTGGCATATGTGTCTATCTGGCATAACTTCTGACAATTCAAGGCTGCCATGCTATGGCATCTCTTTTGGAATTCTTTCTGGCATACGTGGCTATTGTGTCTTCTCACTTTCAGTGTGGCATTCTATATCTCACCCAGGCGCTTGTGATCCAGGTCCGGCGGGCACCACTCTGATCCGGGTTTTGCGGTTGAGGTCAGGCGCGGCGAGGAGGACAAGAAGGAGGAGAGGAGTGGCTGACATAGAATCTCACAACCCGGAACATGCAGGTGAAGGGACAACACTAACAAAGTGAAAGAAGCACATGGAAGCACGATACAGGCAGCACAGTCCCTGTCCGCTATGGTGTTTTATTCAATCAAAGGGCATGGTCACGCGGTATGAAGTTCCAAAGATTCAAAAAATGAGTGAACTTAAATCATCTTAACCTCTCCGTGTGGACTGAACCCTTGCCTGTTGCTCCCTCCAAAACTCCAAGTTTCTGTACAATCACAGAAAAGCGATTCATGAGCGCCGTCATGCAAAGTAGAGGTCAGTTCGGGCTCTACAAAATCCCATGGGTCAATCAGACCTTGCATTCACAAAATCCCAGCCTACGCCTACAACGCCATTTTTTCAGTGCACTTTTGGGTGGGATCCTCACAAATTGATGACCCCAGGATGCTGGCACCGCAAGGTTTGTCCAATTGAACCCATTTGAAAAAACTAATATTTCATAATACTTCTCCAGAGGCTATTTTATAATACTCACTGGTCTCGTTTTAGGTATGGGCGCCTCTAAGAGGCCGTGCTTTTTTGAGGTTTTTGGGGTGGGGTGGGGTGGCAGGTAGTTGCAATAACGTTCATGTCTCTTGTGTGCAAGGTGATGCGGCGTGGATGCTGCGCTGATGTTACGTTGATCATACGTTGATTCTACGTTGAGGAGATGTTGATGCTACTGTTGGGGTGGGGTGGGGTGGGGTGGGGTGGGGTGGGGGGGTGCAATATCATTCATGTCTCTTGCGTGCAAATTGATGCGACGTGGATGCTACGTTGATGTTACGTTGATCATACTTTGATGCTACGTTGAGGAGACGTTGATGCTACTGTTGCGGTTGGGTGGGGTGGGGGGGTGCAATAACGTTCATGTATCTCTTGCGTGCAAGGTGATGCGACGTGGATGATACGCTGATGATACATTGATCATGCGCTGTTGATACGTTGATGCTAGGTTGATGGTACGTGGATGATACGTTGACGTTAGGTTGATCATGCGTTGATGATACGTTGATCATGCGCTGTTGATACGTTGACGTTACGTTGATCATGCGTTGATGATACGTTGATCATGCGCTGTGGATACGTTGATGTTACGTTGATCATGCGTTGATGATACGTTGATGATACTTGGCCGCAAAAGCGGCTGAAACAAAGACGTCGGCAACGCAGAAGAAAACGCGTGGCGTAACGCTGTCTTTTCCAAGCTGATGGCTTTCGTCCCACAAAAACCATTAAAATCACACCGTGACTCTCATTTTTCCATACCCTTCCATGACTTTTGATACACCCACAAAATATAGATATCTGTGAAAAACCGCTCTCGTTGTGGCAAAACCTTGGAACATAATTGAATAGAAACCTATCCATGTGCTGAAACACACGGCCTCTTAGAGGCGCCCTTACCTTTTAGGGTCTAGATCCGTGGGGTTTACATCAGCTACCTTTTTCAGCTAAAGTAGGATGTCTCAAAGCAGCCTCAACTGAGACATCTTGAACACTGTCTAAGGTCAACAATGCCATATCGTGCTTCCAAAAATTGCTCAGAATTGCTCGACATGACCCCAACTTGCCCGACAAAAATGCTCAAAATTGTTTGAAATTTGCTCGAAAAGACCCAAGCTGGTCCACAAAAACGGCTCCAAAATGCTCAAAATTCTTCAAATTTGCTCAGAATGTCTCAAAATGTGCGAATGTTTTCATTACTTTGCATTGCTGTTGCCGGTCTTTAGTGTTGCACGGGCTTAAGGTCACGGTGGACTATAGCCCAAGACTAGCGCGGGCCCGATAGCCCAAGACTAGCGCGGGCCCGCGGGCCCGCGGGCCTTCGCGGGCCCGCGGGCCTTTGCGGGCCCGCCGCGGGCTTGCCCCGCGGGCCCGCGGGCCCGCGGGCTTCCGCGGGCCCGGGCACACGGTGGACCATAGCCGGCACCGAGAAGCGCAGTCGATTCGGAGTCAAATGAGTCAATTGTGCAACAAACTGCTACAAACTGAAACGCAGTAAAACAAAACAAAAAGCAAGAAATTGCTCTCGCGCCTCTGGGAGGCCCTGGGCCAAGGGCAAACAGAGGAGCCTTCAGCCCTTTGAGCCCACAACAGAACCGCTTCTGAGCATACGACAACTGAAGTTGAAGTTGAACCACAACAGGATTGAAACAGACTATCTCCGGAAAAAGACAAAAACACGACCGGGACCATTACAGGCACATGGCAAAACCGCTGTTTTTTTTGCCGCGAGTCGGGCTGCGACGGAGCAGGGCAAACTCTTTTGAGTGCCACAGCACTGACCTTCTTGGAGGCCTTGTGGCAGGAACGCAGCATCGGAGAAGCCGGCAGCAGTCTCAACTCCATGCTCAATGTAAGCCTCGTAGGTGGACAGCAAGTTTTGATTTGTGAAGGGCTGTTAGCTCAGCAGCCATCTATCTTCCGACAAACAAGATTAACCCAAGGGTAGTTTCGGATAAAACTTACTTTCGGTCAATGCAAAAAGACGCAAAAATACCTTAACAGAAATGAGGAACAGAGCAAAAAATGAATCTCACCTGCGTTTTCCAAGGTGTTCCTCAACGCAAGCCCATGTATATGATATCTGATAGCCAGCCGATCAGGAGATACAGCTTGTGAATCTGAAGAATCTAAGAAAGCTTAATAGACCAGTTTTCCAGAAGTTTCCCATTCACAGCAAGACCTCCCTTCAGTCAAAGCACTGCATTGTTCAAAGCAGCGATCACACCCTGGCCAAAGACTTGAAAGCATGTGATGAGCAAAGATGGCTTAGACATGCAGGAACAGCATAAGTGCATAAGTGACATCATTGAATGCAGTTTGAAGTACAGAAATATACAGTATCGATGAGTGAAGATAGGACAGGGATTGGTTCATATCATTCTTGACGTCTGCTCGGGGGAAGTTCCGCACATTCCCAAGTTATGTGCGTCTGGTGTATGTCTATTGTATGTGTCTTTTTGCGTGCACACAAACATCTCAGTTGCACAAAGAGCTGTTTTTTGCTCTGCCACACAGGCCACATGGACATAGAATCTGTGATACAAACTCTACATATATCCTTGAGGACAGCACGACGTTGTGGTCCCAAATCTGTCGCTGTTTGTGCCGTTGAAGAACCTGGCATCTTTTGATGGTCAGAATCTGAACTGAAGGAATAGCGGAAGTGTCTGACCATTCAATGCAAAATTTACGACGGCAATACCATCGAAAATGTTCCAGAAAGCCAAATCAAGCAAAACAACAAAAATGACTTTAAAAATATCTTGCCACATTTGGGTCTTGAAAACCTCTTGGTTCTTCCAGTGTGCACCTGTAGGTGGTGACCTATGCGACAGTAGTAGCTCCTGCTTCACAAGAGCACTTGAGATCAGCTGGTCTGAACAACGTGAAAGGACTTCACGGAGAATTTGAACTGTGACAAAGCTCGTTCGCAAAGAATGTGGAAGGACTCCATCATCCTGCTGAAGTTTGAGAGTTTGAGAGTTTGACAACATTATGTAACATTGTAATCGCATTGGATCCGCATTGGATCCGCATTGGAATCATTAGACGTCACCACGCTTTGCTCAGGAATGCTCAATGAAAGAGTCCTCCAGCTCCCGACGTTCCAAACAATGGTCGTAGGACACGCCCACAGACCTTAGCCTTACAGAACGGTCGGTTTCAACACGTTTCAACTCGTTTCAACTGGTGTGTTCACGTCCTTTTTTTGTCATTTCCACAATTTCCACTGTGTCAGTGGACCTCCTACCTGTGCGCCAAAAAAAAAATGAGCGGTTTCAGAAGATCAGCTGAATGGCGAGCCTCCGCTGCAGCTCGGCCAAAGGCAAAGCTTGCACTTCTTGATGTGTGAGGCCTGGTCCAAGGCTGTCCAAGGGCCAGGCCACAAAAAGACTTGAGTAAAAATCCAGGTGCACCATCATGAGCAATCATGAGGGAAAAAGAGACTCCGCAATAAACTGCGGTTCATATTGCAAGGAGCTTGTTGATGCTGGGAATGTCTTCTTGGAATTGAAATTGTTCAGAGGCCTGCTGGGCCACATTGAGGGTTTTCGGATCTTCTGGCAGCAGCTGTCCTGAGGTTCAACTACTGATGTTTCTGCTTTTAAGACAAACATCTTGGCAGGAATAACATCTCCAATGAACCTTAAACCCTGAAAAAGAGCATCTTGTTTCGGACCTGAGTCCATGACTCCTTCAACGCATTCAAATAAAAAAACATCCACGTCGATGTCTTGTTAGGGATTGGTCAACTAGCAAAATCAGAATCAGTCGGCCTTGGAAGTATCTTGACACAAACCTCAGTAATGTATGATATGTAAGTACACTATATGTGCATGATATGTGTATATGAGTCTTCCGCGAAGCTTCCGCGAAGGAGGGGGCGATGGAGAGCTCGAAGCAGCCTGTCACATGGGACCGTTGACCACCGTTGACCACCATTGACCTGTTTATAACATAAAGTGTTTGATAGTGTTTGCACCTTCCGTAGTGTCGATATGTGTCGATAAAAGTCCAGTGCCATTTGTTCCATGGAACTACGCTTTGATTTCAGTCCAAGGACAAGAGTCCAAGAGCCGATTTCCTCCCAAGGTACTGTCCCTTTTGTTGATTTTATCCTATTCCATTTGCAGGATCATGCTGGATCATTTCACTTCACAGAATGTAGTCAAACATGTCCCGTTCAAACAGCGAAGCAAAGATTCCAAGATCAATTCAGCCAGGGTGGCAGCCAAAATGGTTTCAACCAGATCCGCCTGAGCTTTGGATGCTTTGACACGGCTGAACCGATTGCTATTTGATGCCGTGAGGCACCACGCAACAGGGGCGCAATAGCACCATCAACTAAAGTGCAATGGCATCCAACAGCCGCTGACATGTTCTTGTAGCGTCAGCGTCAATATTTTGGTCCACACTCCTCCCAAAGTGTAGCAATTGCTCGACATTCAGCATAAACTCAAAGCGCGAACAGCTACATATCTTGTAGCATTCCTCCTTTCACCCCGCACAAATAGACTCACTGTTAAGCTGCGGCTACATATGGCTACATTCAAGCCTCCATAAGATCAAAGCATGGGTCCCTTGCTGTAGGTGGATCTACATCATTTTGGTTGACAAACGCCGCCAATCAGAGCCCTTCCGCCTTCTCCAGAGGTACCGGAGCATTCCTTGGCAGCTCACGCTTTAGCTCCGCTATTGGAAGCTGCAAAAGCCGAGCTCGCCTCGGCAAAATGTCCAGCAATCTAAGACAAGTCTTTCCAGTGATGTAAGACTAAGAAGTTCATTGCAGGGAAAAATTGAAAAACTATAAGAGCAAAGAACGCATCTCACATTCTTTTGAACATAAAAGCTAAGTCGCTCCCGAAGCCGCAAAAACCGGCTACGTCCAAATTCTTGTTTCAGTTGATCGAGAAGGCGGTCACAAAAGCCTGAGCGTCATCAGTGGATCAAACACAAGACGGTTTACGCATGCACAATCTGCAAGGACCAAAGTACTCATTGTTAACGAGTTCTAGATCTTTTTCCGAGCTGCCATCAGGCCTTTCACAGAAAAGCCTTGGCCACACGCTGCATGCAAGAACATCAAATTACGAGCTGGCATTGGTGCTACCACACTGCTTGTCAAATAGATCAGAACAACAGAAGCCTGATTGTTGCAAGTTTGAGAGACAAGGAGCTTCTGCGTCAGAGGTCTAGATTCAATACCTTGCACCTCGGCCGCCAAGAAAAGCATTGGATCATTCGGACAAGGATTCTGAGTCCCCGATTCCAGATGCACTGTCGAAGACTGGTGGCTCGGCTAGAAGCGCAAAACAGCAAAACGGCCCCCTGTGAAATCCATCTCTGACATACGAACTTCTTACTAGCATTACTATCGCAGCAAGAGACATCGGTTTCTTCTTTGCACTAGTCCCTCTTACACAAGTCATCTCTGAAGGCTGGTTCACATGTGTAGAGCAGCGATAAAAGTTTGCAGCATGTGTTTGGCGACATCTTCTGCATCTGTCCGGTTTTTTTCACAGCCTTGTCAGACTCATGGTTCGCCGAAAGCTGGAATGCGCAGCTCACATCTTTGGAGCGACCTCTCCTGGCTTGGTGACCTTGCCTATGCCTCGACACATTGCGGCCACTGTGATCAAGTAACTAGACAGGCTCAGGCGCAAAGCACTCCTTTAAGAATCTAAATCATGCGAAAGCAAATCATGGTAAATTTGTTGAAATAATATGCTTCAAGGAATATATGTGCCATTGTTGCTCTGCGCATGAAACTGATCACCATCGTTTAAACGCGGTGACCGTACCTGGCTGCATTTCTGTGCCAAAGATATCGCACTAAGTAGCGCTTGAAACCAGAAGCAACGCAACCAGTCACGCAGCAAAGCCTGCCATTGCATGGCTCAAGCCGAAGCAAGATCTTGGTCGTTGTCGTCTTGGTACAAATGGTACAGTCAGCCAAAGACTGATTGCGGGTGTTGCGCACCTTGGTGTCTCTGGAGTCTCTGGATTTGTGGACACGAATTATATGAAGATGTGAATTGCATTAATCATATTTTAGTATATGCTCATTTAATCTCATTTATATTCAAAGATTAAACAATACTAAACAAACCTACTGGGCGACGCTATGGTTTCCAACTTGGTTGAATCATGAATCACTAATCGGAAGGGATCACAGGGAATCACGTTTGGAATCACAAGTCGCACCAAGCCACGTGAAAGTTGCAAATCTTCTTGCAGTCCTTCCATGTCCCATTCCAACGTGGCCTTCGAAGGCGAGTGGCAAATAAAATTGTGACCTAACATGCCAATGAAAGTGGTCAACAGATAGGTATGAAAAGGTTATGTAGTGCTACCCAAATGGAATGTCAACCTCAAATTACGCTTTGTCACAACTTTAGGGCAATCAACTTGGAAAGGCTCTGAAGTTTAGCACAAAAAGGGTGTACAGTGTATGCATTGTGCCGGTTTTTGCCTCATCGAAGTAGTCCTCCTTGACAGCTCCAGGACTGAATCTCTGCAACTCTCGGAGAAGTTCTGCCAGACACAACATGAAATCAAGGTGAATCAAAATGAAGATTAAACATGACAGTGGTCAGAAGTTGTGATGTTTTCCACAGCTAAGTTGACAGCTTCCACAAGTCCAAGAATCCAAACGATGGGTTACGACCGGTGAAGCCATCGCTGATGGAATCCCCCGGTGTTTGTTCTGGAACCGCCAGGGAACATTTTACTAATTTCACCCTGCCTTCGGGGTTCATTCTGGAGACGAGTTCAAAGTCCTAAGCCGCTTCAAATCGAAGCATCTTTGAACTTCCACTTGATCTGCTGGACATGAAAAGATATTGAAATCCATTCTGAAATAGTCTAGATAAATCTATGTATATATATATATATATTATATATATATATATGTATGTGTATATATATATATGTATGTATGTATGTATATATATATATATGTATATATATATATATGTATGTATATATATATATATATATGTATATATATATATATGTGTGTATATAGTCAAACAGGGGAAAGAACCGGAGACCCCAAAAGAAACGGGAACCCAATTCCCCAGACCCTGCATGAAACACAACCAAATGCTCCCTTTTGCACGGAGCACTTGAGCCATGCCGCAAGCAGCGGAAGTTTCACCCCGACCCGGTGGTTGTTGGGTTAGGGGAATCCCTACTATAAACATGGCTACTCTACCTACCTAACGCGTCTAAGTAGGTGGTGCTATTTCTGTACATATTGGGATGTATCTAATTGGAACTACGTTGGTACTCATAGCTACGGCATGCCTACATACGACCTACTACCTATGCTATACATAGTGGGGCTCAGGGGTCGGTATATTTCAACTCCCCCCTCGCCTGTTCCACACGCACTGCGCATTGGCAGTATCCTAAGCAGCTACTGTCGCGTGAACGGACGTTCACAGCGACCTAGGCTTTGGATTTGAGGTCTAAGGGAAGGTCAGTACGGATTCCTAGAAGAATTAGTGCTGCTGCCCATTTGTGTGGAGGCAATGCCTTGGTGAATATGTCTGCCGCCTGGTCATCGGTGTGGGTGTACTCTATCTCGGCAGAGTCATCTCTGAAGACTTCAGACAGGCACGACAAATTAACTTTGTGTGTTCTAGTTATATGGCGAAGCTTGGGACTATATCCTTTCTTCACAACTAGGATTGTTGCTTGATTATCTTCGTGGACCTTAAGGGTTACGGAGCGTGCAAGCAACAGCTCCCATAATTGTAAGGCAGGCAAGCCTTCTTGATAAAGAGAATGGGCTAAACTAACAACCTCGCTTTCCGTGGTCGATCTAGAAGTGGATGTTTGGCGCTTGCTAATCCATGCAAGTGGGAAGAAGGAACTAGGGCCAGTTAAAACCAAAAAGCCACCGGAGGTTGAGCGTGCAGTTGATCTGTCGCCGGCGAAGTCGGCATCGACAAACAGTCTGAGTTCTAGGTCTTCAGGTTTGTCCTGAATGGTACCTACTAACCTATAGTGTGGGGTTGAGGCTATATACTGGATTAATCTTAGGACCTTCTTATCATCCCCCCTAGACCACGACTGGACCTTTGTGGCCAGATCATTGATAGGCTTGATGATGTCGGGACGTGCAAGTCTACCTAACCAAAGGGCTTTCATCAAAATCTTACATGCATTTGGAGCTAGTTCCCCTTTAGTTTCATCATCTTCAATGGTGATGGATCCCTCAGGTGGAAAAGGCGTGGCAGCATGCTTGAGTTTGGTGACACCAGTTATTGATTTATACAAATCTACGGTCTGCTGAGCGTAGTCTGCCATATCAAAAACCATGCCATCTTGGGCTTGCAAGGCTGCACATTTTTCATGACCTTCGGTCTTGGATAGTGGGGTAACAACATGGTTGCGTCCAAGAATCCTATAGATGGGCTCTGGGGGTTCAATGTCTACCACAGAAGTTAACTTACTCCAGAATGCATCATGCTGGTCAGCGGGGCCAGCTAGAGTTAAATCGTCTACATAAGTTGACAGAAGTAACTTTGTATCTGGGAAGTAAAAGTTTCCTGGGTATTCTGGAACTTCCTGTCCACCAAGGTTCTTGATGATGACTTTCAGGTGTTGTTCCCACAGGCCTCCGGCATCAGGATGACCGTATAAGGCTTTAATTAAGAGGACTACGGGCTTAACAAACTGTTGTTTCCAATACTTAGGGCGGAGCTCCGGGGGAAGCTCAATCCAGGTTTTGTATTTGGAAGATAACAGTGCTTGGACGTAAGCTTTGACTGCATCTGCAGCCGTCGCGCGGTTACCCGGCAGCGACCCATACGCCAGGCAGGCGTTTAGCCCTTGGACGGAGGTGGGATTTGCGCCGAGTTCTTGGTAAACCGCGGCTGCACCATGTTCGTCCTTTGCGCAGTCTCCTCTGTACACAATGCGCCCCTTCATTTTGTGAAGGTGGTCTGCAAGCTCGTAGAATTTAATGGACGCGATGGTCATGAGCTGACCAAAGTGCACTGACACACCCGAAGCCTTAGCTTCTTTGCGTACATCTTCCTTCTCGCGGACCGAGCCAAGATCCCAAGTACCAGCCTTAACCAAACCATCGGCTTCGGCGCGGATTGCCTCTAGGGCCTTGGGATTGGACAGCATCTCTGCACGGGATAAGAGCTTAGTGACCATAGCTTTGACCTCAGGCGTTGGCGCCTTAGGGTCTTCCAGGTGGAAGGCTTGGGCGATCAATTGTTCATGGTCAAGAAGTTCTGTAACCAACCTATTAGCAGTGGGGTCTGATTCAACAGCTAGGGCTAAATCTTCAAAACCAGCTAATGGGGATGCATGCTTAAGGTGCTGCTCAATTTCCCTATGGGGTTGAGGCTCGCTGGTTGCCGGTCGGCAAGGCATAGCAGGAACGGGCTGCTGGGCACATTTTGAGGGATACAAAGCTTGCGCAATTAGATTAGTCATTTGGGGCGGATACATTGCGGAGCGAGTGGTCTCAGCTCCCTCACATCTGGAATGAGGTTGCTGGCATCGACACCGCATATCTTGAAACGCCTCTACAATTCGGGGAGAAGTGGTCTTGAGCTTCCATGGCTTTTTGATGGGATAACCATTTCTGTCGGTTAAACCTACGGTACACCCTTCAAAACCAACGGTCATAAACTGGGGATGCTTCTCAAAGAATGCTACAACGTCAGGCCTTTTCCAGCCAGAGCAAGGTCTTGGCCATTCAAACGTTACAGTACCACCATAATTGAGAACCCTTTCAGCGCGTTTGGAAAAACTCTTAAACAACCGTTTGGACTCTTTGACCTGGTGGGCAAGCTTCCTGATGAATGCGGCACCACCCCTCTTCCTATTGATGTACTGCCAAGGGGATCCGGATGTGCAAGGGATAGAGGCCCACATATGTGGAGGTGCAACCTTAGCGGCTTCATCTATCTGATAGTCTAGTTGCTCACATTGTGACTCATCTCCCAGGTCTATCCTATCCTTACAAAGTCTAACATGATTAATGCCATATTCTTGGTGAGTAAAACCCATCTGGGAGTCCTCAGAACAAGCAAACTCAAACATGGTTGACTTGGCATTGGGTCTGGAAGCTTTCTTGGCAGCTTTCCGGCTCCTACGATTATCGCGGTTAGTTGGCTTACCTACAGCGGGGCAACCAAAAACAGGCAGCGACTTTTGACATAGGTCGGAACATCGATTGGCAACTTGTGGGAGAATAGCTACACCAGAAACAGAAACAGCAGGCTCGGCTGGAGCGCTGGGTTCGGATGACCCTGGTACCTCACCTCTTATGAAGATTTCCTCAACCAGTGCTCTGTCCTCTGCGGAGAGGTGAGATGGTATCGGATCGGGATCAGGCAGATCCTCACCGTGGAAGATGATGCCATGTGCTTCATCATCCCTGTCTTCTGCTTCTGTCTCACTTGTGGGAGGTGGAGCTTTCTTTTCTTTTTCGGCTTCTTTTTCTTTTTCAACCAACATTGCGAAGCGGGCTCTGCACTCATCAGTGTGCACGCGCGAATGGCCAGTGCAGCCTTTGCAACCAGGGGTCTCTTTCCACTTAAGGATACGATCTACGGTTATATAAACAGAACGACTTTTGAGACCTGGTGTAGAGGGTGAGGCTATTCCGCCCTCCTTGGGGAAGGGCACATCCTTTAAGGCATATTCAGGCAACTTGAGATCATCTGGGTTATCCCCCCTGATGAGAGCTTGGTGGCGTGAAAAACCTACTGGAAAAACAGGATCACCTTCAGGAACAAAGATTTCTGCTTCTGGAACATCAACGGCTGAATTCCCACCTCTAGTGCGATACTCTTGGTAATCTAACACCCTTAAGATATTTCTATATCGGAAACCGGGATCAATCCTCCAACCCAAAAATAGACCAGGTGACATGTTGGGCTCCAAAGTCCTTTTGGTGGGTGACTTCCTACGGTAATACACTAACTGACCAAAGCATAACCTCATGCCATCAAACTTATTCCTAGTAAGCGACTCCCATTGGGTTTTGTCGGGGTCAGCTATTGAAGGCTTGTCGAATGACATTGAAAGGCAAGCATATGGATAGCTATATGTGTGATACTCATAGGGAAGGCCAGATTGGAGGTGAATAGTGCGGCAACATTCTTTCTCCTCTCGAACATCTCTCTCGAGGATGGCATTGTGGGGCCATCTGTTCGGCAAAGAGGTTTCTGGAACCATGCCTACGGCATGTGCCGCCTGCTCAAGCTCGCCGGCTTCGTCCATTTTGATGAACGTTCGGGTGGTGAGCTCTGATCCACGCAATCCTAAGAAATGCCTAAAGTTGCGAGCATGCGCGTCAGCAGTACGTTTAGACAATGGGTATGCAACACGCGCACCGGAGTACGCATCGCGGATGACATGATGCGACCTTATTCCCCCTATACCTACACCCAAGTGTTCGGACCCTTTAGCTAAGATAACATCATCAGTAGCAAGCTGTTCCAGCGGCTGCTTTGGGGGATCAACAAAATCATCGGCTTTGCCATCTTTGACATGTGAAACCCTCATGGCGGTATCTTTTGCTATATGGCACAAAGGACAGTAGGGATTTTTGGGAAAATGGGTGCGCAAATGTTCAGGGCTAGTGGCTTGCTGCTTTAGAACTTCATCCTTAGGCGGCTCACCATCACCTAGCTCTACCAAAAGCTTATCATCCATTGGGTGTTTAGGCTCCGACGCGCTAGGGGGCCCAGCAGCGTCCTCAACAGGCTCGGGATCTAGAATTTCATCTAATTCTGAAGGACTA